CCCTGCTCGGAGCCCTCCGGCCTCCTGGCTCATCTAAGGGGATGGTCAAGTCGAGTAATTTCGAATCGCATCTCTAGTGGGCTCTGTTAATCTCCATGTCTGCCCTCCTTGGAACCAGGATGGGTGGCTCAGAACAGAGCTGTCTGTCTGTCTGTCTGTCTGAACCTCCCTGGTTGTTTTGTTATGGCTAAGGGGCTGATTTTCAGCTACGCAACCTCTTCTCCGTTAGATGGAATCTCATTATTCCACTGTGTGGTGCACATCGGGTCCTGGTTCGTGTTGAGCTTCTGAGAGAAGCCGGGGACGTGCTGTTTCTCATCATTTCCACCCAGCGAGAGAATCGAGAGAAAGCGCTACACCCGAGCCAATTACGCTGGGGTCCTCTGTGCTGTTCCCACCTTCAGGAGCTGGTGGAGGCGGGCGGGCCAGGCCGGTCCAGTGCGTGCCCCAGCCAAGGCAGCATCTTTACCTTACCTGGATGTCTTGGGTAGGTAAGTTCCCTTTCGAACCCAGAGGATTTTGAGGTACATTCATCTGCTGTCAGGTGTGTTTGTGTGTGTGTGAAACTCCTAAATGGACTCTATATTTTCTTGCACACAAATAAACAAGTAAGAAAACAAAAGCAAAGAGAAGCCTTCCTTCTGGGCCTGGTCACTGCTGTGTTTCTGGTCCTGGGTGAGCTCTGTTCCAGGCAACCCAGGTCACCAGCACAATCACCTTTGAACTCCAAGATGACACCCTGACTCCCAGGACAGGTACACAGCTCCGGGGTGGAAGCAGACGCTTCAGTGAGATGCCAAGGCCTGGAATCCTCGAGGCAGTTAGGGTGGCAGGGTGACATGGAGGCGGGGAGCGGGGCTTTGGGATTGCGGTCAGCATAACTGCTTTGATTCTTCCCTGCTGCTTACGGGTCGTGTGATCTTGGACGAGTCACTGTATCCGTCAGAAAAACAGAAGCTGCTCTTAGCCTTTCAACAGAGGGCATTTTTTTAGGCAAATGGAAGGGCTGAGGAGGCCCAGGGCCAGCACGGTGGGAGGTCGTGGCCCTCTGGGACCCAGGGAGGAGGTGGTCTTGTCAGCGTTTGGAGGCCAGGGCTGTCTGGTGGGAGCTGGGACCATGGAGGGAGGGAGTCTCCAGGGGAAGCTGGAATCACGGGGGACACAGAGCCATGCCTGGAGATGCCATTCACTGCGGAGAGATGAGCAACACCCTGGCTTCTCCCCTCCTCTTATTCCCCAATCTTCCTCTGGGGTGCTGCCCCCGTTGGCTGAGCTGCTAGAGGGCAGAGGAGCCTGAGAGATGAGTCTCCTGTGAGACAGAACAGAGCGGGGAAAGGGCAGGCAATGGATCTAAGAGCAGGTGGGTGCATAGCTTGTATGGCTTCAGTGTTATCCACGCCCACCATCCCTGGGGCCAGGGCGAGGGTGGCTGGCAGCCAGGCTGGCCAGTGGACACCCTCGGTCATCTGGGAGGGGTGGGACATGCGGTGTTTGCCACGTAGGCCCCTCCTGCGGTGACAGGTCCTCAGTCCTGTGATCACCTCCACAGGACAGAATAAATATGACCCTGTGTGCTGCCGTTTTACTGCTTTGTTTCTTTCTTTTAGAAGCCAGCTACCTCCTCCAAGAAGATTTTCCAGGCAAAATCAGATCTGCCTGAGTAACCTCAGCCAAAGAGACATGAGGGAGAGTGAGAAGCCGATGTCAAACGGTACGTGGTTGGAAGCATGTGTCGGTCAAACCTCACCTCCAGCTTCCCATCTCAGCGGATGGTCAGGACGCCTGGGCCATCCTCATCTTCCTCTCCTCCTTCTTCTGCACTCACTGTCCACCACCCCATCCCTATCCACCCAGTTCCCAGCGGGAAAGAGATGATTTAACTGAAGCAAGTTTAATAAGGTCCTATTTGTGCGTAGACGGGATGCAGGGAACACACCCAAATGGTGCATGAGGGATGAGCAAGAGCTGGAAGCTGCTACCCCCACTCCCCACTGGCCTTCGGGGCCAACCAGGGGTAGGGAACCCTATTGCTGGAGGCCTTGGAGAGCTGGAGTTTGGAGGAGGGTCACCCCCTCAGAGGCTACAATCATAGAGAAACGCAGCCGCTGCCCAAACCGCGGCAAGGCGAGGAGGGAGCAGAGGGATCAGTACCTAGGCGGCTCTTTCCTGCCGCCTTTGAGCTCCTTCCGCTTCCTGGCGCCGGCTAAACGAGAGACTGGAAGGCAAGGGTGCCCAGCGCAGCAGCCCGCAGAGGGCGGCCTTTGAGGTCAGAGCAGAGCAGAGAGGGTGGCGAGGGGGTTTGGGGGAACGCGCGGAAAATAATCGGCTCAGTCTACCCTCTCGGTCACTTGGCATCTATTCTCGTCCTTTTGTTGGTGCAGAAACTTGTGTCTCCAATATGGTAGAAGCCCCAAGCCCCATAACCCCTTCCTCGTCACAGTGTGGTGTTGATTCAGCCTGACTGCAGTTGGAACCTAGACTGTCACCTTGGCCACTGCTCTTTTCACAGGGCGGTGGGAAAACAGAAGGGGCCAGCGACAGCCTAAAGCTCTTCTTCTTCTACTGCCCATTTCGTGTTCCCCTTGCCCCCTGCCAGCACGTTGACTGTTGGGCACCCAGCAGACGAGCCAAACCTCCATGTCCACAGAATCCACCGCCTTAGTGGTCCCATCATTACCGGGTTGCCACGGCTTCCTGCTGTCCTTCATGACTGGACGTGGGAGCTCTGAGAGATGCTGCAGGGAAGCCTCTGATTGAGGTCCTAGTCCCTTTGTCCCCATTGTGTAGCAGTAGCCAGTCCCCCTTGCTGTTCGAGATTAACCCCTTCTCTAGCTGTCCGTGTAGCAGCTGAACATATGCTCTCCCAGCAGAATGCTGTCTGCAGCTCTCTGATGGTAGGATATATCCTGGTGGGCTTCCTGGAGGTAGGGTTGTGGGGATTGGTGACCCCTTTCCTTGAGGTAGAGAGTCAGCTGTGTCTGGTCAGATAGGACTAAAAAGGAGATATGCCACTGTCCTCCTGGATGGCTTATTTCAAATAACTGCCACCATCTAACATCTAAGTGCTCTACCATTTACAAAACATTCTCATCTCCATCATCTCTTTTAATTCGGGATGCGACAGGCTTTGGCAGGCTCATTCTGTTCTCTCATGACTGTCCACTTCTGCTGATTCACGCAGGAAAAATAATCTAGATGGGTAAAAAACAAACCTTGAATGTGTCTCCACAGACTCTGACATTTCTCATAGGACATAGAAAGGGTCCAGGGCTCATCGTGTGTTTCCCGTTCTCCTTCTTGCTGAAGGTTGTGACTTTGGAGGTGACAGGAGGCTGTGGGATGTGAGCAGCTGGCTTTGGAGAGGATTTCAAAGTATGTGATGGGGGACTTCATACACTAGAGCGATGGGGTGCACAGGGATGGATTGATAACCTAGGAAGTGTGGGGTTTTGGCCTGGATACTTGCCAAACTCATCTCGAAGGCTTTAAAGGGGCATTTGAGACTGTGGAGAAAAACGCCCAGAAAAAAAAAAAAATTAGCTCAATGTGATCAAGGCCTATGGAGCAACGTAGAAGCATTTGATTAATTTTCAAATGAAAAGAAGAGGGAAAAGGGTTGGGAAGATAACTGTAGACTCTAGACTCAACTAGATGAGGTGTGGGCCACAGACAATTTGAACTTGAATGTTAATGCAAGAAGGTAAATATGTGTGTACATTAATTTTTCCCATCTTGTAGATTTATGTCGAACTGAGGCTGCTGTCCCTATTGCTGAGAGGATGCAACCCAGCGGATATGCTATCTATACATCCTGTTCCAAAGAGGCAGCATTGCACAGCGGGTAAGTCTTAGGCTCAGGAATTCAAATCCTGGCTCTCCTCGTGTGACCTTGGACCAGTTCTCTAACTTTTCCTGGTGGTAGTTTTCTCATTTATGATACAAGAATAATAAGTCTATCTCATAAGATTATTAAGAGAATTCAGCAAAATTATGTAAGCAAAGAATACCGTTTGACACACAGTTAATGTCCTTTTATTATCATTGGCGTCTTTTCTGTTTTGATGACATAAGCTGACTTGTCCAGGCGGTCGCTCCAGGCCGCTCTCCTGGCCTGACCTAGCATTCCAGGGGCACGAGGAAGTCCAAAGTTCCCCAAAGGCACACTGAGCACCACATGGTGAGAGAAGGAGCTGCCCAGGCGGGAGACTGGAGGTTGCTGAGAGTGAAGTTGGTGAACCGGGGCAAGCGGTACCTTGAAAGCCTGGGGAGGACAGATTTGATGAGTGAGGACCGATCACCAGTGTCACCAGCCAGAGAGGAACGTGTGCTGCCCAGGGAAGACCAGAAGAGCCCCTCTGAACCTGGACGCTGTGGTGTGATGGACGCTGTGGTGTGATGGGAGGCAGGCCCCGGCCTGCTGTGAGATCTTGGAGGAGGACGTTGACCTCTCTGTCTTGGTCTTTCTAGCTGTTATGGTTAAGCGATTCATTCTTTTAAATTTCTTTTAGCTTTCCATGATCCTATGATGAAATCATTGACTTCTAATTGGAAATTCAGTCTCAATTCAACAGGCATTTATCAAGCACCCGGAAAACACAAGACCCCGACTGCGCTCCGGGCACTTTCGGAGCACCTCGGTCCTCAGTTTCTGCGTGTGTTCTAATAGTTGGTGAGCACCGTCCGCCCTGTCGAGGCATCAGGTGCTTTCAATTAGATGATCTCATGGACTACAAGCACACCTCGCTTTATTCTGTGCTTTACACTTCACAGGGGTTGCGTTTTTTTACAAATGGAAGATAAGACCTTCCCTCAGCAAAAAGATTATGACTCACTTTATTGCCGTACTCACTTTATTACAGTGGTCTGGAACTGAACCCACAGTATCTCTGAGGTCTGCCTGCACACACAACCCTGTGGAGAGGTTGCAGATGAGAAACAGGACTTAGAGAAGCTTTGTACCTTACCGAAGGTCCCATGTCCATGAGTCATGGAGCTGGGAGCTGAGCAGTTCTCCTTCCTCCCTGTGTGCTGCCTTTCCACGCCTGGCGGCCACCTTCTCTGTCAGCAGAAGAGAAACCGCTAGGGCTGTGTGTGTCCACCATAGAGCAAACCTGGAGATTCCAGTCAGTCAGTCTGTCTCTCCTGCTCCGTGTAAGATTCTTAAAAACAGGACGAATCTGAATGACCTTTTTCTGTTCCTAGAGTCCAGCAGGACATCTGTCTACTCAGAGGCCGAAGAGATGTTGGACCAAGGACGGGCCCTGGGCATCCTTTAATGAAGGTATGTACAATACACACAGGTTCTCTTATGGCTGAATTTTTCTTAGCGAATATATTTTGTTAATTTAGAAATTAAGTTAATTTTCGTTATGTAACAGTTCAAGCATACAAATAGAAAGATTTTGATAATGAACATCTGAGTATCTGTGACCTAACTTTATCAAGTGTTAACATTTGCCATATTGCTTCAAAGAATACACACGTGCACGTGCAAATGCAGTGCAGATCAGCTGAGAAAACCCATACATTCCTTCAGTTCTCATTCCTCTCCCTCTTTATAAATTAAACTGTTAATGTGAATTTCGGTTTGCTATCTCCATGCATATTCTTATACACTATTGCTATGTTATCCATAAACAGTATATAGTATTTTTATGTTTTAAAACTTTGTGTAATTGTTTACATAATGTATGTATTAATCTTTAACTTTTTTCTTTTACTGTTTGAGATTTATTCATGTGGATATCATATAGCTCTAGTTCATTTATTTTAACTGCTTTATAGTATTTCACATCATTTTTCTAGTTTTTTTTTTAATAACAAAAGTAATACTTGCTGAATTAAGTTTAGATAATATAGATGCATATAAAGTTAACCTCCCACCTCCCATTCCACCTCTCAGGGTAACTCATGATGCTTGTTTGGTGGGTATCCTTCTGCAAAGTTCTCTTGGCTCAGACAAGCATATATATGGCATATCTTCCTTCTTTTCCTTCCCTCCCTTCTTTCCTTCTTTCCTTCCTGTCTTCTTCCTCTCTCTCTTTCTAAGTGTTAACAAATTGGGATTCTACTAAACTCATTATTCTGAGATGGGTTTTGTTCCACTTAATCTGTGCGCATTTATCGAACAAATGGCTCACTTGCCCTTCACCTTGTGTTTTCTAAAGTGATGGGTTAGGTCAGGGGCTATGCCTCTCGCCAGGCAGATGCCCTCTCTGCCCTTAAGCTGGTGAGAGAGGGTCCTCAAGAGAAGCAGGTGGGAAGGAGGCGGAAATGCACAATGGGGCCACACAGGAGCTCTGGGCTTGAGAGCAGGAGGGCCTTTAACCATCATCTAGAACAGCAGCTCTTCACAGCCGTGGGTGTGTTCAAGTGGGAGTTAGGCTACAAGAAGGTTCTTTTGTTTTAAAATAGTAACTAATAGAAGCTTTAGAATTTTTTGTTCAAAGTTATCCCTGGAGCAATCTCATTTTTCCAGGTAACCCTGGTTCATCCATGGGCTGAATTATATATCACATATACCTGAAAACATGATCTCAACTCGCTTCCTGCATCACCTTGGTATTAGGTGAGATGCAGGTTTTGTTAAGATCTGAAGCTGGAGTTGGCACAAATTTTTAGAAATCTTGAGAGCCTGTTGTTAAATATAGCCATTATTAAAAATTAAATTATATGAACTTAAAAGGGAATAGATTATTAAAAACAAGGGTAATGAATACTAAGAACTTGCCACTTCCTCTACTATTATTTTTGGTACATTTTACCATTTTCTGTTCTCTTACTGTGATTCACATCTGCTGTGCGTGCATGGTGGGTATGCCCCGTGACGGTGCGATACCGCAGCTCCGCAGTTCTGACTACCAAACCAGCCTCATCCATCTTGCTGCTCTGGCATCTCAATATCTATCTTTCATCCTGGGTCTGAGGAGGCTTGGCTAAGCTCTAATATTCTTCCTCTACCACAGCCAGAAGAAAGGGGAGAAAGAGGAGAGGGAGGTTCATACCTTCCCTTTTCAGTGCATGGCCTTGAATTTGCATACGTCACTTCTGCTGACCCCATTGGCCATATCTAGCTGCAAAGGAGCCTGGATAATGGCCTTTATCTGGGTTGCCATGTGCTCAGCGAAAACTATGTCATGCTAGAAGGAGAGAATGGATGCGGCGGGGGACAGCGGCCACTTTCCATTATAACATTTCAGGGTTCTCCTTAGCTAGATCTAGGCCACCGAATACCCATCCCACCCTCACCCTCCTCTTCTGAAGGCCTGTTACCGGGCTCCAGGAAAGACCCTTGCCGTTGTCCACAGTTGGTATATAGACATGGCAGTTTCAGCAAGTCTTACATCTTCAGCCTCCAGGCAGCAAGAGGGGACTCAGAGGCACACGAGTCAAAACCAGCCGTTCTAGAGAGAAACTACCAGCAAATGAACATGAGCACAGGAGCTTCTGTTCAGGGCTGGCCTGGGCCCTCAGTGGGGAGGGGATAATTGTACCAGGAAAAATTAGGTAGCCCCGCCTCAAGTCCAGACCTTCTTGTCCAGATGCAACACTCGTACCTGGAAGATCACTGCTAATACGGGCCCTGACTGGTAAGGACAAGGCAGTTCCTCCGTAATTTTAAATTCTGGGCAGAGAACCAGTCTCCGTGAGCAACCAACTCGTTGTTGGACCAAGTTCTTGTTTTTAGCTTTTACAGTAATAATCAAAGTTAGGTTGACATTAGTTAAAGATCTACCTAATTGTTCCACTGCCTGATAATTAGGCAGAAATGGTAAGCAAGTCATGTAAATGACTGTAATTAGCATTGTTTTTATATAGTCAGACAAAGTTTTTAATTTTCCCTGTTACTCCGTATAGTTTATTGGTTGTCACTCTTGGCTCCAGCCATAACTAACACTTAACAGTGGTAGGCTGCAGTGGCTCTCTCCAGCCTCTGGCCTTTGCCTCTCCTGAACTTCCCCACCAAGCCCCCTTTGTACCAGGAAGCCGGATGGCACAGTGGTCAAGGCCTTGGGCTCTAGAGTCACAATGCCTTCACGATTCCGTGACTTAAGCTGGATGATCTTCGTGATTTGCTTAATCTTTTACTTCCTCAGAATCGCCTAGACGTACATCCTTGGAATGTGCCTGGGACATACTTAACACACGTTAGTCATTGCAAGCTCACTTATGCATCCGTTTATCTATTCAAGAATTGTAGCATCTGCTGTGAGCCATGTGCTGTTCTAGGTGCCGAGAATTAGTAGTGAACCAAATGAAATCCTGCCCCAATGGTTTGCATTTTAGAGAAAGGAGACAGATAATGAACAAACATTGGAGTTTGTAAGGTGGTGATAAGTCTGGTGAAGAAAACTAGTAAGGTGTAAGGGCGAGGGAGGTTGCTGCTTTGGCAGAGGAAGTCTTTCGGTCAGGATAAGCTAGGTGAAACTACAAATCTCAGGGGCTTACCTTCGCTCGTGTGACATGTCCACTGGGGGACAGCAGGGGCTCTCGCTCCACATCTTTATCACTTTGGGACCCAGGCTGACTGTGTCTTCGTCCTCTGGACTGTCATTGGCCATTAGAGCAGGTGGAAGGGGAATGTGATGACTTAGGTATGGGAGTGACATTGGCTAAAGCAAGTTGCATGCTGTACCGGACTTCAGGGATGGGGACAGGGGATGCGGGTTCCTGCCTTGTGCCCGGAAGGAGAGGAACCAGAAATACCGATGTGTTGGGTGACCTCCCTTTGCCCCGCTCTGTTCTCTTGCGCCTCAAGTCCACGGACTGCATCCCCGGGGCTCCCTTGCCCTCTGGCTGCCTGTCGGATTTGGCCAGAGAGTGCATCGGCAGGAGACCGAGGGTGGGGAAGGGCGGGCATTGGTTCTTCCTGCTCTGCCACCACTGTCCTGCGTTGGCACCACTGAGCACTAGCTCACCCACGTTCTAGCCCTCAGACACACCGCCTTGCCTCATAGTGTCAGCCTCCCAGTACGGCCAGTCCTAGGGGGACTCCAAACCTCTGCTTGGTTGTCCTTGTGAATCGTACCTTCATGAAAGGGTCTCTTCAAAGATCGTAGCTGAGTGTTCCATTTGCGTCTAGCCAGGACCCCCTGACACGGTAGGTTGAAATCTCCATGTCACAGAGCCCCCTCTGAGGAGATGGCATTTGAAGTGAGGGAGAAAGGCAGTGGGCATCAGGGAGAAGATGGTGGAGCAGACAGGGAGGATCTGGGACAGGGAGGGAGAGGGGTGCCTGGCTCATTCAAGGAGCAGGAGCCAGGCGGTGTGGCTGGAGCTAGTGAAGGCGGTGAGCCGTGGGCACGGGGGACATGGTGGGAGTCATTGAGACCAGAGGGCTGCAGGCCTAGATGACACGGAATTCTTCTAGGTGATGGGCGGGTCTTTGGAGTTTATTCTGAGTGACACAGGAAACCACTGGGAGGTTTGGAGCAGGTGAGCATGTGCTCTGATATACAGTTTTGAAGGATTCCTCTGATTTTAGGGACAAATCAGAGGGGAAGAGATCAGTTTCGGAGGCTAATGCAGAGAGAGATGTGGCAGCTTGGACCAAGGTGAATGCAGAGGAGGTGGTGAGAAGAGACCAATGAGGGTTATCTGTGTACGGCAGAGATCACGCGAGATTTGCTGACCAATTGGATGCTGGTATGAGAGAGAAA